CCCGCGGGCGCCGCCGGTTGGGTCCACTGGTGTTTCACTGTCCCCCCAGTTCCGTCTCCCCCAGGAAGTCACAGAGCTGGAGTCGCACAGCCTGTGGCCCCCACGTTGGCTCTGTCACCTGGTCACGTGCTGGCAGGTTCCTCCCCGTCGTCTCCTGGCTTCTGGCTCCTTCCTTCCAGCTGAGCAACGAGCCCTTACGGTCCTTCATCAGCTGAGTTGACGGGCACCTGGGTGGCCACAGGGACGCTGCTCCATAGCTGCCAAAGCTCGGCCGCTTCCAGGCTTTGACGGTTATTAATTAATAATTATTATTAATTATTATTAAACAAACGTCTGCGCCCAGGTTTGTGTGGATGGTTCCAGCTCCTCTGGGTGACACCACGAGCTGGTCGTGTGCTAAGAGCAGGTTCGGGTTTGTTCCCGGCTTTTTAAAATGTTCCTTTTAAAAAATTCCCGTGGAACTCAGCAGCCACTGGTTTTCCCATATTTCATGATGATTCTCTCTTTTTAAAAGGCACCTTCCTAGCTTGGGTTTAAAAAGAGCCCCTCAGTGTAGTTACTTGAGAACATATCTTAATCCTTGTATAGTTAATATGACAAGGTTTAGAAATGATGCGCGCACGCCTGTTAAGTTTCCTACAGAAACGAAACTTGCTTAATTCTTAACTCGCTTTTTTCACGCGTTCTGGATGGAACCGCGTGAGGCCCTCAGTGCTGTGGGTCCAGGTGGTTGAACGTTGGCACTTTCCTGGGTTCCCCTTAGGACCCGGGCGCAATCCTGCCCCCCCAGTTAGAAAACCCCGGGTTGGGGATACGCTCGGCCAGTGTAACTTCAAACTGTAAACTGACTTGAGCTTCTTTTGATGGACGGGTTTCCACAAGTTGTCTTTGAAACTCTGTAGAAATAAAAAAAAAAAAAAGGCAAATATAAAAACTTCGCTTGGCTGAATTTGGGAAAACCTGACCCGGACGGAGCCTCAGGAGTGTGGGTTCTGTCTCGACCTCTCAGTGCCTGAGGCTGACCTTCCGTCCGTCCCCAGGCTCGGCGTGGGGTGGGAGACAGGGCGCCGAGTGGTGCGATGACCCCTGGGCCGTGTCCGGGCTCCTCTCCAGGGCTCCCCAGCCTCCCCGCGAGCCCGGCGGTGACCCTGCGATTCTATCAAATCTCAAAAGCAACCCCACCCCACCCCACACACCAGCTCTGCAAACAGGAGCAAGTGCATTAGACTCTGTTACGACGATTTCCACGGTCACTGTGTTAAATTAGGACGTAACAGCCCCCCGCCCACACGGCGCGGTGGGAACTGCTTTGGGAGGAGGGACACGGGCGCTTCGCTGTATCTTCCCCAGGACAAGGGCCCCCCACTGTCCTCCGGCCTCGAGGTGCGTGGGCTCCGGGCCGTGCCGGGCGCCGGGTGGTTTGTGAGCGGTTCTCAGATTAGACGTTCCCTCCCCTTGGCCTCGCCTCTCGCCACTCGGCTCAGACGACACCGGGCGAGGGCCCCGGCCCCCGGTGGGCAGGAGGCGGAGGGGGCCCGTGTGACGCAGAAACAGGACAGTAAATAACACGCGTCACCTCCTCAGGACGGCGTCGCTCCCTGGCTTTGCTGCAGCCGCCGAGGTTTCTGTAGCCTCGAAATTCTCCATCATCATTTATCAGTAAAGGAGGGGTGGGCGGGCAGGCCATGCAGCGAAAAAGCCGAGGGTCCCGATTTCCTGCACTGGGGTCCGTCCGAGCCGACGCCCCGAGTTTCACTGCTGTGCCCCTCGGAGGCCGAGCCCCTTCCGTGGTGACCGCTGATGGACCTGGGTGCTCAGGAAAGATCCTCAGAGGGCAAGGTTTCTGATTTGACTTTTTCTTTAGATATACGGGGGGGGGG